TTGAATTGAATTGTTTTGATTTTTAATAAAAGAACAACGATGACTCACTTAATATCTTCTATCATTTTCAAACCCATTCGAACACAGTTTGATGCGTGATTAGGCCGACTTATTGGCAAACCACTCACACAATAATAACAATCACCAAGAATTTTTATTCGCATACAATCACATTCCTATAATGAATCAACATGAACTGTATGATTTCGATCGATTTTATGGACATTACCTGTGCTAATTGATCAAATTTTCCGAAGAGTTTATTTAGAATTTGTACTAATTCTGGAGGAGTAAACTTTTCCGACAACGGTGTAAAATTGACGATATCCGCATATAAAATTCTATGAGATAAAATCGTACAATCGATGTGCAAAGTATATATATGTAAACTTACGTCACATTTTCGTGCTTTTTAATGTATAGATCATGAAACGTTGCTTTCCGCACATTGACTTTCTTTGTATGAGATCTTTGATCATCATAATCTCGCGATTGTAGATTATGATACTTCGCTGTTTCTTTCACCTTACGCAACATTTCCGATTTCATACTCAACGCTATCATAAGAACGAATCAAGATGAATCATTAGAAGGCTTTCAGCAAAATCATACCAATATGTGCTGGTATCACACTAAGAATCAATGTTTCCTGTTGTTCTTTTTCCCGTTCAAGTCGTAATCGTGCTTCGATACAACGCATTGTATTCTGATATGTTTTCTTTTGATGTGCATCAGTTAAATACCGATAACACAAGCCGAAGAGGTTACACGACACGTAGAATAACGAAAGACAGATTACCTAACAAGCAAAAAGAATCGAGCAATATTTAGATTGAAAGGCAACGGCAATTTACTTCAAGTTTGAATTCCATTCGATAGGATCTGTTGTGTAGATTACGAATGGAATGTGAACGGATAACGAATATCAAATGAATGAAAGAGGTGAACAATGCCATTAGGACAGTCCACGAACGCGAGACCGGTAATGTCGTATGAATTGTGATGATTGAAAATGTAATTATGCCCATAAGACGAATAATTGATGTGTACTGTTGCAAAATGACAGGTATGATGGAGAATAATGTTAATAATATCCATATCAATAAACATGATATATAGACATGAGCATGAAGAAATTTCTCTCGTTGCAGTAATACAATCAATGCTATAGAGACGAGCAAAACACAGGAGAAAAGAACGATTTCAAGAATAAATTGAGCCAAGAGGTACTAGAAGAAAAGAATTGACTTGTACGAAGGAGTTTTCGAGGAAAATGTTACTTTTTTAGAAAATATTGCCAATAATAAATAAGTCAAACTTTGAAAAGCAATCAATAATAGAGAGAACAGAATCAAACTATGTTTTATACGGATTAAATATAGACCAAAATAATGTTTATTATCCATAGTGGCTAAAATAAATGACAAAGAGACAAGAATCGATAAGATGTTCTCATCGAGTATTTATATTCGAGCCGAAGCGAAGAGAAAGACCGACCGCATGAATAAAATATCAATATTTAGTTGAAATATTACAAGATATTTAATCAAATCGACGATGATAATGATGAGAAATTGATACAGATGCTTTTTACACCGATTATCATTAAAAAATCATCATTGGTATCCTTTGGGTATAACTCATCGATTTGTCTATGAATCATTTCACGAAAATTCATGATAAAACTACTCATTAGATCGTTATCAGATGGAAAAGGAGCACGAAAAACAACTGTTCTTTGTTATTTAAAATCATATCATTAGATCAAATTACTGCAAGTTCTTCTCCTTAGTGATCTCAATCGAAAAGAAAAAGTTTTGTCTTCAATTGAAGACACACGATGATGATTAACTTATTCGAATCAAACTCAAGATATTATAATTCACTCGTCGCTTTTAGACCTTTTCATAATAACAAATCAATGATGAAGTCTCCGCGGTATTAAAGAAGGCAGAAAGGGAAAAAACGAGGAAAGATGATGATGAATATCGCCGACAGATCATAAAGATGAGAATGATAATCAACGCTTGACAACTTGTCTCTCCACTCTAACCATACAAACATTTTCTTCTGTGTTCGCTCTGTCGGTCAGGAGAACGTATTCATTCGTACGAAATATTTAGTATTGAGAAAAAACAACAATATCTGTCACGAAGTTGACTGTCTGCTAAGGTCATTGATAAGAATGCATCAGTGCACAAATCAAAGAAACGAAGTATTTAATTTCTCGTATGATCCTATCATACAATTAAATTAGCACGGTTATTTATATTTATACGCAAAAGACTTCTGTCATCACTATCATCATCGTTATGTGTCCGAAACGGGAAAAAAGGAGTATACTTGAAGTTAATATCAATGGAAATTATACCTGTATTTACATCCGTTGATGAACAATCAAATGCAAGTCGTGCTGAACTTGTTGAATTGCTGTGTGAATTACCAATATCGAATACATGCGTAGCTTCTACAACAACAAAAACAGACAAATGAAGATTGATAGTTAAGGGAAAGCAGACAAAGCCACTCCTACATATGCGAGTTTGTTACAGGTCTGAAATTATGACAAATATCAGTGAAAAAAAGCCAAGGGAAGAGATAGAACCTTAGCTAGTATGAGAATAATCCAATCTGTTCGTCTCTTTGACAATATCGATTATTTTTGCATGTTTTTTTTATTGTATTACATCCCTCAAATATGATCTACGTATTGCCTTTAGGTTTATGGTCTACTCTATTAACTCAGCTGGTATATCGTTAACAATCGTAAAGAAGACATTAGATCTGTGTTTGTTTGAGTAACAAAACGGCTATTAAAGAATCATTTCGATTTTGACTTAGTTAATAGATGAATAATAGATGTTCGTCTACTCAGTTCAAATCAACTCAACGAGTTATTAATTGGCCTTTTTGATTGCATCATACGACATGTCAATAGTAGGCCAAGGTTGTTCTCGACATAATAAAAGCAAAATGTACATTAGGAGCAAGTTAACATGATTATGTACAAGAATAGTTGAGTTGCTTCTCTGTAGACTTACTTCGTTTGGTAGTTTGTTTTGGTGGAGTAACGATGGAATTACGTGTTCGAGTTTGAAGATCGTTTAGTCGGGTCGATGATGTTGATGTGGACGCGGGTATTGAATTTCGATGACGCCGGAGAAATTTGAAAACAGGAGATCGACGTTGTTGATGATGGCTTTTATCCATGATTTGCCTTTTCTTTGCGTGTGTAAAAGTGATGAAAATCAGATTTTTCTTTACCTGTCTGTTTGTTTATCTGAGTAAACGTTTGTGTATGTCTGTGCGTACGAATCGGAAAAGAACTGAATGTAATAGACACTAATGAGGACCGATGGTTGGTACTACGTTATTGATAAGAGTCCGTTGTTTTAATCGAAAAAATAGTTAAATAGCAAGCACAAGTGCTTCACGCGAATTGTTCTAAGAAGAACTCTACTCATTTTTCATGCGCCGTGAAAATACTCGAGGTAATGCTTGATAATGGTAATGACGATGATGATATATTTTGTAAGAAAAGAAAGAATTATATACTGAAATCTTGGACATAGATCTTTCTCTCTGACAAAATTGTCGGTGTCTAAAACAAGAGATATATTCTCCGATTCTCTCCTTTCCGAAGCAGAAAAATGCGCTGGAACGACTTCTTTCCTCTTCTTCTCGCTTTCATATCTTCTCATCAACTTCGACTACTTGTCTTCGTTAGTAGACATAATCATCAACAGGGAAACGAGATGACTAGTGAGAATAACAGAAGATCTATGGAAGAAAAAGTAGATGATGATGATGTTGATAATGAAGGCGGAGAAAAGATAAAGAGAGCGTATGATGCAAGTCACTTTCTTATTATCCCCATCGGTCATAATACCGTGGCTTGTCTTAATTACAAATAAAACTGTGTCTTGTATTTCCTCAGATTACATCCATCTAACCTCCAGGTCGAACGCTTGCGCCTGTCAATATCTACGGACAGTCGTTTACTAAAGGTGCACGATTATCAAAGCAACAAACTGTAAATATCAAGACTTCCTCATGTTTTTATGTTGACCTCATCTAGTTATTGTTTGCATGTACATCAATTATGGCTATGACAACAAATTTACAAGTATAATAAAATGTACATGTGTATTGATTAGAAATCAGAGTGAGAATGCATAAGACAAATAAATTTTAGAGCAATGTCAGGAATGTTTTCATTATATGATTTTATTACAGCTGATGTCATTCTACTAATTCAAATCAAACTGGATGTTGCTATGCTGAAACGGAGGAGTGGTTGACAGGCAGCTGTAAATTTCATGCAAATATTCATATGTTCGGATGACTGAGTGTCCGAATGGTTGTGCTTTTTATCAATCACTCTTTGAAAATCTAGACGAATCTCGTTCTTGATTCCATTAAACGTAAAATGGCAATCATGAATTTGAAGTTGTGTATGTCCTTCCATGTTAACACATATGCCAATAATAACGATCAAACAAACCCAAATTCACACGCAAAATTGAATGCAGATGTGAGTGCAGGTGGGTGTGGGCACATTTCGCCTACGCTCACATCTCTAGTTCTCCATAATCGTTCACTTAACAAACAAAATATTTCTTTTCTCATTATTATGACATTAGCTCATGTCATCGATAGTGCTTCGAGTTCTATAACAAATAAAGATGTCATTTGAAAATTTACGTCATCTTTATTTACATTCGGATAAAAATTTTGATTAAATTTAATCATCAGAAAGAAATGTCATTCAATCCTCAAAAATGATCTAATCGAAACAAAGATGTGTCTATGCGTAATGAAGAATGAATAATGAAACCGAATTCGATTGTTCAATTTTCGTTACGGAGGCTAAGAAATCGAAAGAATACTGTCAGTCAATTGGCCTGATATATTCTAAAAGAATAGGTTTATTTTTCATAATCTAGCAAAAACTGATCGATTTATTCATGAAAAAATCTTTCATCTTTTTCAAAGTTACATCATCGGTACATGGATGAATTAATCAATGGTATTTCAATAAAGAGCATTCCGTCATCCATAACTTGAGACGTAACATTGCATTTATCAATTCCATCAGGTAAACGAATACTTTGACTAAATTGTTTACTGTCCGATATTTTGGATGACGACGAGGCTTTCTTTCCTTGTACTAATAAATTATCATCCAATAGGCGAACAGTCAGTTCTTCGGGTTGATATCCACGTGTGTCGACTTTTAAGGTTAACTTTTTACGATTCGGTGTAAATGTTGGATGGAATTTCGATTGTAGAAAGTCCGCGATATTAAATGATGCTGAATGTTGTCGGTGATCCATGTTAGCCAGACTTCCCGTACTTTTGTGCACTGTTGACGGTTCTTGTCTTAACGATTGTTGAGCAAAATCCGTCACGTTCGCTTGCGAAACTGAACGTACATAATCATTTTTTCGTTGGGGCCTCGGCTGATCCATTGCTCGTAGTAATTCTTCATGTGAACGTCGTATTGCATCATTATCTCTTAACATAGGTATGTCAATGGTCAATACTCCATTGTTCCGTATGATTGAACGTATTTTATCAACATCGGCACCGGGTGGTAAAGGAAATGTTTTAACTAATTCTTTACGAAAAAAATTATCTACAGCGAATTGATCAAGATGTAGAGCATGTACAAGTAATGTGTTATCACGTCGAAGTTTAACAGCGATTTCACCACGCGCGAATTCGGCAACATTAACTTCGATACGAGTTGTTTCAGTTAATGGAGACGCTAATGTTTGCATATTGAACGTTCAATAAATAGTTGAGATTAGGTGTTTTCAATGATATGAAATCTACGAAAGAAAAGAAAAGAGATGACATATTAATTTGCTCCGATTACGAAAAAGCTGGCGTTTACTCATAATCGAAGTTTTCGAATTACATCTTTTCTATGGGATCTGAGATTCCGACAGGAACAGTCAATGACCTTGCCAACGACGTTTTTCTTTACTTTTACATTAAGTTAAATAAAAAAAAACTTCATAAATCAAATTTATGTGCATCTGTCGCTTCGTATTGATGAAAGAAAATGACTTACAGTGATTCTTTTTTATTAGAAGAAAAATGTTAAGAATACATACTCACATTGCTTTCACGGCGAAGAAAGAAAATAACTACGAAGGGATTTATTTGCTTTTGATTATTCGACATCAATTTCAAAGAAAATATCCTTTATCGTTTTCCGATCATTTCCGGAACACGTCAATCTCAATAAAATTCTATTATGTTCTCCTTTTCGTATGCGAAAGAAGAAGAAAAACAATAATCAACAACGGACTTGTTAAGTCAGGCCAGTCAAAAAAGAAATGAACTAATCCTATTAACATAACATCTGAACTATAGATTAGAATGTTTAACCAACTGAGTATATACAGATTCTCAAGGCCTGTACTTTTTTTTGCTGATGATAAATTTGATATTTATCGTGAGAAATGTGTTTTGTACATAGATGACATTCAAGAAGTTGTCAAATAACAGAAAAAAAAACATTCAAGGATTGAAAAGATTAGAACATACCAAGATACACACGCAAAAAAAAGCGCAGCAGGATAGAAATGTTGTACTTCGAACAAAAGGATGTTTTGTTAGACATTCGATCGAATGATTTGCATGACTCCTCCTATATATATATAGATATTAATACTAGTCGACATCTTTTTCTGCGGAAAATCGGATTTGATTCTGTTCTTAAGATGGCAAACTAACTTGATTGTACTTCTGTTTCTTTCTTGCTGATAACATGTTTTGAAGATTAATATTATTCGGCATAGCAAGTGAAATAGCATCATAAGAACAACTTCAAGGTCTCAATCAAGTATGACAACATTCTTACTTGTTTTTTTCAAAGAGAGGAAAAAACGTTTTTATATGAGGAAAAAAAAGAATATTAATTTGCATAAAGAAGAGATCGTATATAATACAAAGAAAAGAGGGAATTTGAAATTTTTTTTCTTTTTTTTTCTCTCGTACTCGCTCGACGCCTGATTTTTCTAGATAGAAAACAAACGATTGTGTTCGAAGCATTCATTTCAAGGATCAATAAATGACAACTTAGGATAGACAAACATTTCTTTTTTCCTTATAAAGAATGCTTGATTACCCTCTTGTTGTTTCATTAGTCAAGAAGGTATATACCAACAATATCGATGATTATTTTACTAATATACCGCATGCTAGAAGAAAAGCAAAGTATCTACATTACCTGAAGGATGATATAAGAAGACGTCGTAGCGATAACACGAACGATTCGTTTACAATACTGATTTTATCATTGGAACTGTAAATATTATTTAAAGAAAATTAGTGTGCAAGTCGTGTTGTTGTCGCTTTTAACGATAGACCACTAATGAGCGCTCTCCTTCTCTTCTTCTGACTGTGTATCGACACAAAATAGAGTAACATGTTTCAACAGGAGAACGTGTGTGTGGCTTTTTCTCCTTCGGTTTTCTTTTCAATAGAAACCGTAAGAGAGAAGAAGAGGAAAGAAAAGGAAAGAGATGGCAGTCGTAACAGCATTGCTGCCGACTGTCAAAAAGAAACCCCGATGGTGGTGAAGATGATGAGCAGCGAGAAAAAGACGGAGAAAAAGAAAAAAGGAAAAAGAATATGATGACTTTGGCTGAGTCGACAAAAAATTACTCATGAAAAAAAAAGAGACTCGTATTCTGCACTGTCTCATTGTGTGAGTGGTTCCAAACGTTCTTTCATAAATTCTGCTCACACTTATATGATTACAAGTGAGCGCAAATACCTTATTCAACGGCAAGAAACGAGCGTGAACTCGATTCTAATCAGAGGATTTCTCTTTCGAAACGGTATATGCAGATGTCTTGAGCTGCTTACTTTTGTAGGTTGTCGTTTGTAAAATACATCTAATCAAAGTCAATATTTAGTTACTAGTCAAGAAAGAGAATTGAAGGCCGTATGTCTGTTGGCCACACTCATACATCGTCGATAGATGAAATGAAATGAAATAATCTTCAGCGTCAGACGAACAAGTAATGTAAATGTTTTCTATTCACGTCAAGATAATTTTGCAATCAAACGTCAGAAAGAACTCTATGGGTGACTTGCTTCTACGAAATGCAATTGAAAAAGAAACGCCGTATCATCACTGTCACATCGATCAGTAAAGTTTAGTTCGATGTTAATAAACAAGAAATATATATTCAGTCAATATTTCACTGTTTATTATGCATTTCAGCACTTGTACTTTGTTCGAAAAAAATATTTGACATGTCAGAGTCTTTTTATATATGCACAGTCAACAAATTATACAAGGTTATATGCATGAAATATCAACCTTACAAAGTGTTTTTCTTCGGAAGAAAATAACTGAACATGTGAAGGGGAAGCTGTTGTTTTTTTTTCGCCTGGTAAATTGATTAGTTCGTTCTTCTCTTGGGAAATCTATTCAGATGAGTTATTTGTTACTTGCATAATGTAGATGAACACAACAAGATAATTAGAAGTTTATCGGTGCCTGATGATAAATTATTCTAGTTTAGTAACTGGTGTCGATATTAAGAAAATGATAATAAATTGCTCATGCTAATCCACCAATCAGTATTCAATGATACTTGAAAGTTAAGAAGAAACTTATCCTACTTTCAGTTCCAATCCAGAAGTTCAGAGAGTGTTCTGAAATCCTTAATAACAACCTTGCTACCAGGATTTCCACTTTGAGATCACAATTCATCCTTGTTGCCGTTGCAGCCGCATAATGTTCTATGACACCATCATTTTTTTTGCCAAGCAAAAGATCGTTGTATATGATTTATACAATTTCATTCATGTTTATATTTTATTGGAAATAAAAGCAATATACATACATATCTGACAAACAACACTTACAGATACTCTGTCGTTAGGAAGATTTATTAGCTAGATACGGACGTAAGCGTAGATCTAAGGGTTGATCATAATCAATCGAGTCAGCATCATTGGATTTTTCGTCCGTTGACTAGAATATTTAAATGGAACATCCAATTACAATCTAGATTGTTGATTTCATCCATCTTACCGAAATGGTACATGTTGGAACGGAAGGGACAACTACTGGAGGATTGGCTGCTTGTGTAGCTGATGGCGTTCGCTTTTTTATTGCTTTACCTCGTTTACGAGTGATAACTGGAGAGAAAGAAGTTCGCTTTCGAGGGCATAATATCTGAAAAAGGATAGTATGAGTGATCAACTATGAAAAAATATTTTTTTACCGGCGGATTTCTCGATAGGTCATCTTTAAATATTCCATTTTCGATTAATTTTCTTTGGATTTGTTCATTAGTCATTTTCGAAGACTTTCGCTGACGTTTCAACATTTTTCTCAATTGTACTAAATGAAAACGTCGTTAAAGAACAACCGATGCGGATGCAATCGTATCTTCGTACCATAATATTCATCGAGTGGTATCAAACCAATGCCATGAAGAAACTGCTTGATCTAGATTACAAATCATTACAATATTCATCTTACACATTTTTCATTTAATACCTCTTCTGGATCGGCACCGGGTGTGAAATCATCATCCATCTAAAACGAAATGAATTGATGAAAGTCACGTCTGGGATACACTGAGAAATCACCGATCCAGAATGCGAAATTTGAACTTTTAGAGAAAAAAGTGTACAAAAAATAGACTCAATATTTCAACTATCTTCATCATCAACAGTTGTATAATTTTCTCTGATTTTCGCTGTTTTAGCATATTCAAATTGTTCCACACCATACGCATTGGACATTAAATTTGTTCGTTGTGATAAATCATCATTTTTCAAATGTCCAAATATAAATCCATTTGCTTTATCAATAGTATTGTTAACCTTCTCGATACTCAATCGATCTTGAACATCCAATGGAATATATGAAACTAAACTGTAATCTTGAATAACTTCACCCAATGCCGCATTTAACTTGCGGTATTTCTTTGCTAATTTAGGCCGAAATTTATCTGCAGTAGACTTCTTATTTCCCATTAAATAGGATAAATCTAATACTTCTGTATAGAAATCAATGTTGTGCTCTAATGAGCCATACCGTTCAACGAGATCGATCTTTGATAGAATATTCACATGAGGTAACTCTAAATGTAACATCATCGATAATGAAGTTAACAGAGCACTGATGAAATTCGACGAATCGGAACAGTAATATGAATCGATCAAATTCACACAACAAAGTCGCAGATCTAACTTTTTTGATAATTGTTCAATTATATGATGAATCGAACCATGATGTGTATAGAGTTCAATCTGACCAGGACAATCGAATAGAATATACGGTGGAGGTAATGTTGATGGATGTTGAGCAATTAAAGATTCAAGACGTTTAAGCAACCAATCGATATTCTTTTCAATATGTTCAATACAGTACATCAAGGAACCATTTGGACCCAAATTGAGATTATCACAGACATCATCGACAGTGATTAAGTCAACTAAATCTATTGCACATTCGTATGGCATGCCGACGTTCGCAGCATCTAAATTAACAATATAAACATGTCGACTACTGATGCCAGCTGTGCATTTATTGAAATAATCTTGTATAGCCGCGGAGTATGTTGTTTTACCTGAAGAACGAGATAAATGATTGATGTATATAGGAAACAAATGTTGCTGTTTTACCACTGCCCGGTGGACCAATAATGATTTGTCCAAAGACAGCTGACATGTTTCGTTTTTAAATTCGATCTAAAACCCAAAGATTATCTTTATTACTTTTCTCATCATCAGTGTTTATTGTCAAAATATATACGAACAAGAACAACAAGAAGAGAAGAAAAAACAAAGAGTTAACGTTAAATAAAATAAAGTAAATGAATGGAATTAACATTGACGAATGACTATAAGTTTCACTGTCTTCATGTCCCAACACACAAGACTAGACGTTCGAAGAAAACAAAAATAGATAAATGAGATCGATTTTGTCATTCCCAAACAAACAAACAAACAAAAAGAAAATAAATTGACATTCACAATTGGATATAAATATATTGAAAGAAACGCGTTTCTTTTGTCATTCATTCCTTTCATCCATCACCAATCAACAAAAACAAAATGACTAGATACATTGTACAGATATGAGAAGATTAGATTATTCGATCAGATCACGATTATTCATAAAACGACGAACAGATATATTGACGGGTAAACGGAAATCGATTGAAGTTAAACGGTCCAGAGAATGAAGCGCATCATTAAAACCTTTTTCAAGAGAAAAGAAAGTGACCATAAATAGATGTATCTTCGTTTTATGTCGAATCATACCCGTCGTCTTTGTGTAACTCCAAGATTGATAATAGTTCTCGATCAACGGAACCGTTTTAAGGATTATACGAAGAAATGCAACAAGTTTTTTCTCACTGGAACGAAAAACATCGTCAATTGATCTCTGCCTTTTTTTTCTTCTTTTTGAAACTTACTTCAATGCGTAGCATAAAAACGACTTAAAACAACTGTCCATGGATTTACTATGTTTTTCATGAAGTTTTGCAATATTATCAATACCACTGAGCAAGCACTAAACGATATCCACCGTTAAAGTTTCGGAAATCTACGTCATCCTTCAAGCTCTACCTGTTTCAAAGTGATGGGTTTTCCGCCAATGACATCCAATGCAAACGATTCGGAAAGTTTGCGCGCTGGACTATTGGCAAATTCATTTCCACGCTACAACGCAAAAGAGATCATAATCACTATTGAATATTTTGTATTGCGTAGGAAATTCATTGATGCACAACACCATCTGTTGTTTCATCAGTCTCGCGTATGAAAATCTTTCTTACTTTCATTTCGTAGTACTTTAAAAATAGTTTCCAAGCATGCATAGTATCATTCGTAGCAGTATAATTTGCTCGCGTCGCAAAACAGCCCCAAATAGCTAATGACGTGGAATAGTTCGTCTAAGAAAAGAGAAATACATATAAATTGTTCGCAAAGATTGCTCTGATTAGTTTACATACTTCATATAGGCCATGTTCCATTAGAGCACGAAGCGCCGGAGCAAGATCTTGTCTTACAGCTAGAACAATTGCATTTTGATCATAATCTTCCTGAATGTATGCAAGAAAGTTATTGATTATTCTCGAAAAAAAAACAGTTTCATGTTGTAACGAACTTCTTCATTATCGCTTGTTGTTACAGATGAAGAATTATTGGCATCGTCATCATCGTCAGTAAAACCGCGATTTTTTCGTGAAAATGTGGTTACTAATCGAACAGCATTGAGAACTTTTTCAATAGCAACTTCCAACTTCGCTCGAAGATCACTAGAAAAGGAAAATTCGAGGTTAATTTAAAGATAATTTCCATTTTATACCCAAAATGTTTCTTGGCAACTACGTCTTTCTTCATGCCTGGTGTTGGCTGATTCGTTTTCTTCTGCATAGATCGTGTTCCACATGTCAATAATAAAAATGTATACAATTGAGTTAGAACGAGGACTTTCTTCATAGTTTGGGAAAAATTTTCTTGATTTTCGGAAGAAAATTTACTACTAGTGGAACGCATTTTCAATGGATTAACTGTGGTCTAAAAATAACAAAGAATAAATGTTGGATTTAGATAGAATTGTTAGCATACCGAATTTGATTTATTGGATGAAGCTCTGTAAGGTTCAATGCTTTTTCGATCATTGGATGCGGATGAATCAGCAGCGGCAGCGGCAGCGGCAGCAGCAGCAGCATTTGCAGAATCAGCTGAAAGTGAATGATTTCAACGGGTTTGTTTGAATAATATTCTGTTTACCTTTGAGAAATTCAATGAATTTCTCTAGATCATTGATTTGTGTACGCATCTGTGTAATGAGATTTTCTTTTAGTTTGACAGGATTGGTCAACTATTGAATAGAAGCGCTTATGAATCAAAAAGCTATGCGAAAGGAAAAGATTAGTATACTTGATGAATCGCCTGATCGACAAGTTTTCTTAATTCTTCCGCTCTAAATCGAACGAAATCATCAATGCAGCATTATTTACAATCAAAACACTTACGATAGTTTCGACACGGAAGCATCGTCAAGTTGTAAATCAAGTTTCGTGCGCAATTGATCGATCAAAACACGTTGTTTCTCCATAGTGACAGCTGTAGGTGCACCTTCGAGCGAACCCGATGCAGCAGCATAACGTTCCAGTTCATCTAGTTTTTGTTTTAAATCATTGATGAACTCTTTCTCGCGACATTTTTCATTCTCAATTAATTCTTCATTCGTACAATCAGATGTATACATTGACGACTGACACATGACATCTGGAATACCACTTGATGCAAACTCATGTAGTTCTAAAAGTAAACTCTAAAGAACAAAACGACACGAACATGCATTGAGAAATGTTTTCCATAGCTTACTTCACGATCTTCAGTCGTTGGTGCTGAAACAACTTGTTGCAGACGGAGTTGTACATGTGCAAAATGACGAGTCAATGCTGCCAGAGATGCGTTCAACCGTTCATGTTCTTCGAGTAAAACGAGTTTATCATTGAATTCTTCATTGACACTATCCATCAAAAAATGTTTTTCAGAAGTCGCGTTTTTTTCCTCGACGTACCCTATTGCAAATTCTGTATCTGATGAGGCACCACCGATTGGGGTCAAACGACCGGTCATAGGCAATTTATCGTCACTTGAATCTTCTTGTAGCATGTTTCAGATCAAAAAAGAAGAAGAATGAAAAAAGAGGAAAAAAAATCACATATGTAGACGCCTACGCTGGAATAGAATGACGTCGATAGAACAAATTCAATTGATTATCTGCTAGAGTTGTATTGCACAACAGAACACTAATTAACAAAAAAAACTTTTTTCATCGTTAAGCTTTATTTCTTCTATCTCAATAAGTTTTGCTTTTCTTTTCTTTTTTGAAAGGTCAATTTTCAGAATAGATGTCGCTATATATTGAATCATCGAGGAAAGGATATTGGAAAATTTAATTCCATGGTTCATTTCGGAAAATCTAGAACGACAAATTAAGGCCAATTTCTCTTTCCGAATGAAGAATAGAATGGAAATTTTCTTTAAAACTCGTTATTTTCCTGAAAATATATTTCACCCCATCGAAGAGAACTATTTGATTTGGAACAACGCGAATTAAACATGAGTCAATACTTTTTCTAGCAGAATGCAAATGAAATATTATGTCTTATCATAGAATAAATATTGAGCACAATACAATCTCGCTAAATGCATTCGATGATTATCGTGATAAGACGCATTGCATAACAACAATCGCAATTGAACTGATTCGTTCTTTTAACTTATACTCGATCGAGGTAGAGTATTCTTTATTTTTGGCACAGAATTAAACGATAAGGTACAGTATTTATTGGAGAAAATGAAGATTAGTAGAGGGAGTTATATGAAAAACTTATTTCGTAAAGATGTTGACATATGTTATCAAAAGATAAAATGAAAGACGAATAAAAATCTGCACGAGAACGCATAATGATAAGAAAATACGAATGGAAGCACTTTCCGGGAATACATTAACTGTTTTAATACTTATTTCTGTTATACTGTCAGGCGTCGCATTCATCGCTGTTTCTTTTCTTATTATTTTTTTATTATGTACAACGTTTCGTCGCTCTATGACAGTAACTCCTGCGGTTATTCATTCGATAACACCAACTGATTCATATGTTAGTCGGGCAAACTCTGTCACTTCAGTTTCAACTGCATCATCCTCATCATCATCTGTGTCTTCTATTTCAATCAAGACACCAGTAGATTCGTCTCCGAAGAAACAGCAATCACGAAAACCGTTGCCAATACAAAAGGATCGTTCGGAATCGATTAGTACTATCGAAGATCATCGTCCAGAACAAGGAAAGAAATATCAAGTAGTATATACAAATCAAAATAATAATCATGAAACAAGAGTCGAAGCTGAGAAGCAGGTGTATAATCAACGACGAAAGGTAACAACAAATGTGCGTTTCAACGAGCGTCAAACACCTTATCCGCCTGATGTTCTTGCACGTGACCGATTTATGATGACTCATCTTCGAGCTCCCGTTGACAACCAGCATCATCAATGACAAATGAATTGAATCTGTTTATAAACAATACGACAGTGCTTGAATCGAGTCGATCAGCTGTGGTCGCTGAAACAAAAAAAAACACACATTTTTCGATACAAATAAAGTAAGAACAAAATCAGTAACGACAGAACTAACAAACACACTAAAATATAAGAAAAGCTTTGATACGAACTCGTTTGCAATAATTAATAAAGTCTTCCACCGTGATTTGTTCGTTACGCATATTATCAATGCTCTACAAAGAAACAACATGAAGATTCAATTTGTAACTCTCTTTTTTTTTGTCTATATACATGAAAAATCTCATTGATATGCCTTTGAATATGACGTTCATCAGCAACCGGTTGAACTGATGGACCGAGAAGATCATATAAGGATCGAATAATCTCGCCCAGATCCTAAGTCGAATAGTTTAGTATATTGAAATTTTTCATTTATATAAGATTGTTTCTACATCACGTGTCAATATTCCTTCTCCATGAATATCATAAAAACGAAAAATCCATCGTAATTTTTCATCGATTGTTCCACGGCATAGAATCGATAATGTAAAAATATAATCCTAAAAAAACCCAGAAACGTTCATTTTGATAATCCAGTATATTTAATCAAGTTACATCGAATGTACATGTGCCTTTACGATTTCGATCGATAATTGCGAATAGATACCGAGCATATCTTGCTGCATCTGATATTGGAAGGAATTTTGAACGAAAAAGATACATAATCTTTGATCAAAAATCACTTACTGCCCTGTGGAAAGAACTGGATGTATATGGATCGTAATCGTTCTTCGTTGACACTTCCACCTGGACATTGCTTAAATATAAAGAACAAGTCTTTTGTTTTTCAAAATCCATCATTTCGTATACTTGTTTGAAACTTCGATACAAAAGTCGAATTTCTGCTTTGGTAAAGCGCGTGCATTTAACAATTTCGTCAATAGATCGCGAGTGTTGAAAACATCTTGAAAGTAGTACGTCCAACTGTGCATCTAAAGAGAATATTTTCTCATTTAAGTTCATTGGACACATTTCGTTTCTGATGAAACTAAACTCATGTGTGACATATACCTCTGGTTGGTCGTTTCCGTCGACCAAAATTCAAACTACTATGTCTTTGAGAAAAAGATGCGATATTAGCACCCATAATTATCCAAACGTACGTTGCATATTATGTGGAGAAACAATTGCAAGGAAGTTATCATCGAAACATATCATACTTGCGCGAATAGATAAGAACGATCCAAGACGGCAAGTTAATGACATTTTGCTCGCTCTTTTCATTCACGATCGTTAGTTCGAAGGAAGTCTATCTATTCGTATATACGGATGATACAAATATATCTGATAAGAAATCGTTCTGGCAAACGTCTGTTTCTAATTGACTATGTAATACTGTCAATAGTATCATCTATCATTGGATTGACTTTTATCAGAAGTACACAACCTCTTCGAACAATCAATAACAACAACTCGAATGACTTCATTATGAAATGGCAACATGTCTGTAATAATATGATTTGTGTCCATAAACAATCTCAATTGCTCTTTCGACTGGATACAAAACAAGTTTACTAGAATGGAACATGATTCGTTCCTGAGCATTGTAATAACATCAGAATAGCGTGCATCTACTTAATTTTATTAGGCAGATTTGTTTTACGACGCAATTCAGATTTGCTAAAAGCTATCTTTCAAAATTTGCTTTTGTTCAGTAATCCCTAGAGTCCAAACATCCCTGAAACTAACAGACCTATTTTTATATTCAAGAATTCGTCGTTGAATTTATTCTTTGTCCAAACAATGATAATCAACAAATCGTTGTAAACTATTAATCGCATAGATCTTACCTGACGTTGGTCGTCGACGAACAACTCGATAGATTCCGGTGCTTAAACGTCTGGAAAATCGTTTACAACTATCGATAAATCGATAGGATGGTCGATCTCCAGATAGCAGTGCTGCGTGATACCACGACATAAGAATCTTCTCGTAAAGTCAATCTAGAATATTCGTAGGAATGAAATGTGAAACTAAGAGGAGAAGTAATTCAAGATTGTCGTTTTTATTTAGCTTCATACTGATTGGAATGGAATGATTTTTTGTCTCTCTTCTTCGATAGACAAACGAATGGAGAGACGACGACGAAGGAAAAAGAATCAACAATCTAAAAAGATTTTCCACGTTTGTATGATTTTGGAATCTAGTTAACATTGGAAAGATCCAATGCAGAACGTATCGTCTTAATCTCTATTTGTCGACCATCACTTCTCGATTTTTTCCGACATAGAAACGCAATCAATTTATTACTATGATTATTATACTTGAGAGGCTTTCTAATGACTAGAAGATACAGATAATAGAAGCGAAATTCTCGAGCATCGCTTTGCTTGAAGCAACAAACAATAGCAGTCTCGAATCCACATATCGACTTAAAGAACATTCATTATTTATATCCTTGTTAAATAGTAATGACAGATGCTAATTAGAATAAAAGTGAATTTTCTTCTTCGAAGTTTTTCTTTTTTCTTAGTGAATTGTATGGAAATTGAAAATGATATTTATTGTGTTATAGAAGAAATAAACAAATTTACAAGTGTTGATTTATTCATAAAGATCTGAGCGTTTCTTTCTCGAAGATGAATTCGACTGCGATGCCCGTCCGTTGATTTTAATCGTCTTTTGTGTAATATTAAACTGTATTTGCGGCTTAACTAATTGCTTGTGACAAGATATTGGATGATTACATGGATAGTTCTCGATCACTCGTGGTTTTTGCTGAAGTTTCTTTGTTGAAGTTTTCCTAATCAATAGTCGACAATAGATCAAATTACGAAATGCTCGTCGATATTTATTTGATACGAGATTGTAAAGGATCGGATTGACAACAGAGCCAAAATAAAATGTCACACCCGATACAACATACAGATACGCCATAAAATTTGACAATGTTGGAAATTTGAAGAGAGCATTGGCATTTAAATCATTAATAGCCAAAAGTAAACGTTGTAAATAGAGTGGAGCATAGCAAATAAAAAATGCGCTAACAACAGCAACTAAATATAAACATACAATCTACAATATACGCTGTTCAAAAAAGAAAATCTCGGCATGATAAAGTGGAAAGAAGTTGTAACTATTTTAGTCGAGATTGTTGTCTTAAATAGGACTAGGATGAATGCAAATATCTTACTGAGAGTCTTAATGACGACTTTACGAGCTTGACAGCGTGCACGCATTTTTAAATACGAATATGAATTCATGTGTGAACCCTGCTGTTGCAGTGCAATCGTATCTTTCTGCGATAAACCTAAAAAACAAGAAATTAGTTCATGTGACGATAGTTTGATTTCTTCACTGACTTGATTGCGATGAAGTACTAAGTTCCACAGGACTTGTGTAAACTTCATACTTTGCAACACGTCGTAATGCTTGACCGATGAATAGATAAATCGCACCGATGATCATCATTGGTAAATAGAAAAAACAACACGATGTGATGATGATTATGATTGAAAACAATCGTGCAAGACTTTGTTTGAGTACACATGCTTCGCAGATATTCGACAGAGTCTTTTCCACATAATTCGCTTCAATTGATTCAGTTTTATTCGTTATTAGCAATATTATCGTTGGCTGATGCGACACAATGGATGCGTTGCTTTCGATTTCATAAGAAAGTCCAAGTGGGAGACTGAATCCAAATGATATCACCCAAATAAAGATAATTATATTTTGCGCGCGACGAAAGTGACTTAATTGATGCAGATGAATTGGATGGACGATAGCGAAATAGCGTTCACATGTAAACGCTAGAATAGTTAATATCGACGAACATGTGAAAAATTCTGCGCAGATATTTCGTAGTTTACAAAATACGATCGATAACGGCCATTCGCGATGGTACATTTCTAACATTTCTAACGGTAAGTTGCATAATAGAATCATCAGATCTGAGACGGCTAAGTTTAGAAGATAGAGATTTGTCGGTGTGTGTAAGTGTTTGTTGTATTTGATAATAATTATTGTCATAATATTACCGACAAGACCAATGATGAATATTAACGAGTAGATTATTAAAATAATCTGTTCAATTAAGTAAGGATTGACAAAAATATCTTGGTAGATCGATGGACATTGATCTTTAGACTTCATTTGTCTTCTGAAACAGATACAAAAGAGACCATTTATCAAAAAGTAAAAATATATATATATATATGTCTAGCAGAAGATATGCGACCTTTTTTTTTTACATCGTACCTTATTCCTGACATTCTCTTGGACGTCTCATGCGTCGCTTAATTCAATATTTCAACATTCATAGTACTGGCTTTGAACTACAAAGTCATATCGCGTCTGCCGTACCTCGCTTATAATATGTGAAATGAATGAACGGAGATGCCTGTGAAGTTCACGTTTCAAAGCTATTTGCTTTTGATCTCGCACAGTATGGTTAATAATCGTGACTGATGTTCCGATCTCTGATTGAAATGACTGGATTTTGTGATTGGATGATTAAGTTGTTTTTCTCGAGAAAAAACATACCTGCTACACTTTCGTTTGATTTCTCGGGGTACATAGAGAAAACTAACACGAGATCACGCATCAATATAGACGAACATATTGATTCAGGAATGGTTCACTCATCTATCAGAGAAGAAGAGAGAAGCGCACTTTTCAATTACGTTGAAACTCAAAGGAAAGAAGAACTAGTTTTATTTATCTTCCTCTTCCTTTTTCTCTTCGTCTTCTCTATGAGTGCTCTTTTTAATCGAGAAACTAACATTCCAATAACTATATCTAAGTAATGAAAATGTCTGTTTGTTCTCCGGTACGTAAAATTTTCAGATGATAAAATTGACGCTACATATTGATCAAGTGTTTTTCTCTGAAAACAAGACGAGATTACGATGTTAAGCGTGACTTCGATCTCTGGGAGAAGCTGTAAAAAGAAGTTTTTGAAAGAGAATGGCAAACTACCCTTGTGATGCTCAGATTCCTAACAAGTTTTCCTTACTGCATTGAATTCTGATAAGTCTTTCGCAGGGTGAAAGAATGCATCAGATCTTATATATAATCCGGCATATTCTGAATCACCTTTCACTGACATATATATGCAAATATAGTAATTCCACCTTTCCAATGTCTATATCGGTCGAGGATTACCGCGTCATATTTGAAAATTAATGTTCACAGAACGTCACATGATTTCCCAAGTGTTTCATTCTAATGTTTGTTTCAATGATTAAATATGTAATCTAATTTAATCTTACAAGATCTATTTTACACGTCAAAGCTCTCCAAAGGATCTAAAATACTTGCTAGACTTTCTCTTATTTCTTATAAATGATCTGGCACAGATCCATACAAGTTACTTTCCTCGCTATTGATAATTTTGTATGCATGGATAACATCAAAATATGCCCTTTTACATGCAGGGTTACACACTCGATATAACATAGATGAAGATTAATCATTGACTCACAAGTTCATGTGTATTCTTGCATAGATTAGCAAGGAATACCATATGAGTTAGAATGACGGCAGACGAATGCTTGTAAAATCTTCTCGGTTTCTACTCAATGGCATCGCTCTTGCTTTCTACATTTTAATACTTGAAGAACTTCGTAGAATAGCCGGTTTTCATGTAAAAAAAGGTCGTTAACCGTTCATATAGTTATATTTGAGTCTAGTAGAATCTTTAAAAAATCTTTTATACACTTGTAGTAGCTCAATCGTTTTCATTAGAGTGTATTTGACACCGGTTGTACCCATCTTTTTTCTGAATTATTAATGTCAATGCTGAATGTTTTTAATTATTAGCAAAAAACTGAAGTCTTTATTGGATTATAACGTTGAAAATACATAACGAAGACCATTGAAAAACGATGACTTATGTACTAATGAATGCAAAAGAATATGCTGAATTTGTTCAATAATAATAGTAATATCACAAGTATTCGTGTCACAACTCAGCTTCATAAAGTCCTGATCACCCCAGCTCTAGCCTAGATATAGTTTTAGCGAAAGATTTGGAGATGAGAGTGAAGAGAGCTTACCGTAACTATTTTTTATGATCCATTAGGGAGTGCTTGTACATTCGCCTACGCCATAACCAACTAATTGTGCCTAGAAGAGGTATTTCATACATGCACGTAGGTAATTTATCTAAGAATTTCCCACATGGCCAATTTGGGCCTTGGAACGAGCAACATATCGATATACATCTAGGAAATTCATGTATAAAAGAAATAAAGTACGACCAAATAAATCATCCATCATTTTGATAAAGTATAAATGAGGGGACACATATCCACACCCTCACACCCACCCCAATCGAATGAGATTAGTGTGTTTGTCTTGGATTCCAATGGAAAATGTTACATATGGATGAGTTCATTGAAATTATTTGATTTTTTGCAGTATTTTCCAAAAAAACTTTCTTTACGCATAGATTCTGGGTTAGCAGATACAAAAATCATGTTTGAATTTTTCCCAATAAGACGTTCAATTTAGCAGCGATTGTCTTTAGTAACAGAACAAAGGCAACGAGCTAGGAAAAAACATTCTACTAGGATTTACATTTTTCTTCGGTACAGATTTCAGACAGATGACTAGGAGAATGTCATATGTTCGTGCAAATGAGACAATAAAGATAACATAGACCAATAGCCTCAGAGCAAAACGTTGATCCATCTGTCAGTTATTTCGTCGCGAATACAAAAGAATGAAAACTAATCGAAAAGAATCAGGAGTTCTAACGATCTTTATGTGCAAAAAAAGTATTTTTCAGGATATCCGTTATATCTCGCACGATTATTCAAAGTCGCGGTTCTTAGTCCAGAACTCACAGTCTCTCTCTCTCTGGAAACATCTACGAAATATGTACGTGTTAATTTTCGCATCAATGCACATATGAATACTTTCCTCATATGAAGATAGATCGACGAGTCAATCGTCAAACTTACAGTAAAAATGAAACCCGTCAATAGACTCAACAATCTTTGTCGTGAGAAAAACTTCATTCACGGGCAACAGATAGAATAAGATTGACTACGGGACGTGATGAACATGAGGGGAAAGAATTAATAAATAGACAAAATTCAGATGAAGTTTGGTAAAATTAAATAATGTGAACACTTATATACAACAAGATGAAAGGAATAGAACTGGATACTATAATACCTTTTACTCTTTATTAAACAAGTGTTCAGATATAGATCAATCAGATGATACCGTTTCTCAGGATCAGCTGTTTCCCGTTGTAAACACCGCCTACTTGGCAATGATAAGCAGATGCTTAATTTGCATTGTTAAAAAAACCGTAAAATTTATTTAAGAGTGTAAAAGAAACATTAGGCAACCTTATTGGTCATTAAATATCATTCTTTAACATTGAAAACAAAAAGCAAACAATAAATTAAACTGACTCAAGCGGATAATGATAAATCGAAGTTTTTCGTCGAAATCTTAATAGACGATTCCATATCGAACGTGTATATGTATCAATGGACTTTTGATTTTGACCATAGGCATTTAAGTATATACCGAAAGCGACAATCGCACCAGACCATAAATATCTTAATTAAAATCGAGTTTTGTCCAGAAAAAGAAACCAAATACTGAAAACTATCTTACTGAAAAGTGAATGGTTTAGTAAAAGCAATAAATGAGAGGATAATCGTAATTGTTTTTCGAAAGGTTGTCACTAGAAATGAATATATTTTGTTCAATGAAGAACCAATGATAAATAACTTCGAACTAACCAGTCACAGCTATCAATGCACCAAAATGTCGTACAAGATCAAGTACACAGTTGACACCGAGATAACCCGCAAATGAGAAGAGCGTAGTGAATACATAAGATTTAATGGGATACTAAAAAAAGAATTCAAGTTTAATCTACAGCAAAACAACAGTCGTACATACAGCCCACCAAGTCCAGAACGCCTCTGTTAATGAACCGAAAACCAACTCAAATAGTAACAAATAAATAGCACCAATTGAATATGAAAAAAGTATCTAAAGTTGTCAAAGAAAAAAACATGATTTTTTTCGAATAAAATCTGTCTTCTACCATTTCGGAGTTACTAGGTTTATATTCTTTCAATGCTTTCTCTTGAACATTACCAATCACAGCATCAGCAACTAATGCACAACATACGAGCCAAACACCTAAAGATGAATTCAATGTTCAATCGAAATAACTTATCATTTCATTGACTTACCTAATAGATCAAATTCAGGTTGAACTTGAGAATCTGCTAATGTGAAGAAAATCAGACCGATTGTCATACATAAGCATGCCAAAACATCGTATAAGTTATAACGTTTTCCTATTCGAAAACATATTTTACACACAACAGTTTCGAATCAACCAACTCAGGCAACATTTACCTAAAATAAGCATACTACCAATCATAACTGGTATTAATTTACAACTTTTGAACATCATGTGTGTCGGATAGTTCAAACGCATGACAGCTGCATTACTCAAACCCATAGTACCAATAGTAAACAATGCAATCACTGCATACGTTTGTATCGGTGCTCTGTAAATAAAGTTAATCTTCGATACTTTGCCAATGTTGTTAAATATAATAAAACATACTTTCGTCGTTTGATCGATTTTCTAAGAAAAAGTCTTTCCGCATATGCCAGGATCGTAAAACATATGAATTGTACAAGTGTAAAATAATTCGGATAAGTTCGTAAAGGTTTCAATTGTAAAATTGATTCCTTTGAAATAACAAACAATACGAAGATTCAGCATTGACAATTGCCTTCTTACTTGAATGTACCCTTGAGTAACATGAAAAATCAATACGGCTGTTGATATGATTAAGAACTGTACCAATCGACTTTGACTAGTTAAGTCTATGCCAAACAGATAGATTGATGATGACGATGATTGCAAATTTGTCATCATAGAAGATCATTCTCAATCTAATTCATTTCTATCTAGAAATCGAATTCTGAAAAGTTTACATTATTGTCTATAATTGTCCGACAATCTGAGAATTTTATTATTGTCTATAACAGTGTTGCAGAAAAGAAAAAAAACAACTTGAGATTTGTCAATCACACAGGCAGTGTTCGGATGGTAGGCGTCGAAAATAATCGTGGCCACCAACGTAAATTGAATAGATTCTGAGTTAACGATACTATTTTAGCATTAAATACTGTTTGATTTCGACTGTAAACATTAAGATAAATACCAACAATAACAATCAAACCAGACCACAAGTAGCTACAAAACACACGCGAAGAAATTAAAAGATGACAAACCTCTTCATTTTTATTTTCACATACTCGAATACAAATGGTTTGGAAAACAAGGTGAACGATAATATAATCGTTATTGCTTTTCGACATGTTGTCACAGTAACACAGATTAGCGCACCATATTCTTTAATCAATGTCAAGACAATATCAATGCCTAAATAACCCACAATAGAAAATATCAAACCATAACCATACGTTGGTCCTGGATGCTGAAAATCATTGAAAAATCTGCATAGATATTTCTTTATACAAAACAAACGATTCAAACCTTATTCCAAAATTCTAAACTTGGAAAGAAATTGTTCGTTAGCAATAGCCCACAGAGAACAAATACAAAACCGAATATGAAACTATAAAACACAATTTCAACATTGGATACATGATGTTCTTTCATAATTTTCTCTTGATAATTTCCTATTGCTGCATCGGCGATCAATGCCAAACTGATAATTACAACTCCTAAAGTGCATTGTGAATAATTCATAGAAGAAAAATTGATTCTCTATGTGTTTTACCATATAAATTAAATCTTGGTTGAACTTTCGAATCAGCCAAAGTGAAAAATATCAATCCAGTTGACATACAAAAAGCAGCAGCAACATCATAACGATTGAATGTTTTCCCTAATGAAATTCATCTCTATCATTTTATCTCTCATCAATTAACTTCGTACTTTGTATGAGGATACCACCAATAAGTACTGGTATCAGTTTACAGCATTTAAACATCACCTGTGTCCTATTTGCGAACGGATTCTCAATGATTTTGTTGTGCATGCATTCATCTTACGGATAGTTTAAATAAACAACTGCATAGTTAGATAAACCCATAGTCGTGACAGTCAGAAGAGCTAAGAGAATATACGAACGGTAGCTTGCTCTAGATAACGAAGAAAACGAATGACAGGAGAGAATTAATAGAGTATAATACCGTCGTTGATCGAGACCAGTAAAGCCCAGGTGAACAAATGAAAGAATACCGTAGACAAAAAATTGATAGCATGTGAGAAACCAAGCAGTATTATCAAAACCTTTCAATGTAAACATGAGTTCCTGTGAAGGATGTGAGAATATTATCGTGAATATTGTTTTCAAGTGTAAAGACAAACTTGTAAATAAGCGTAACCGATATAATAGAGGAACACTAGAAGGCATAGTCCAATAAATCTTGGTGATACGAGTGATGTTGACGGTGATGAAAATTGCGCAAAATTTAGATAAGAAGAAGTTTGATGATTTGTTCGTTCATGTTTACGATATTCCATAGGTTCTATATCCGAATCTGTATCAACCGTTACTTCTATGGCGGATGTAGTTGGTTCAATATCTAGATATAATTAAAAACCAATTAGTTTATCTGAATCTCATTCAATAGCAATTCTCATCACCTTGATGTTGATGTTGATGTATTTTACTAATTTCCATCTAATAGCTAATTGAGCATTGATTTAAATGCATCATCAACAGCAGCAACAAGGTTTTCTTCTTAACAATCTAAAAATTTAGCCATTAGTTTTCTTTGAAGTACTGCAAAAAAATACGACACCATAGTTCTTTACTTTTTTTCTCATTCGGCCTCTCTTCTTTATATTTACCATTCATTTTTGTTCTCTTTTCAAAATATGGTGCACATACTTTTACACAAAACTGCAGTAAAAGGAACGAGAAGAAAAGAAACGTTTTTTCATGTACAACAAACCGTAGAAAAATAGCATGCAGATATCAGTTCAAGGGCTTTCAGATCGTGTAAGAATGCTAAAAACATCCGGAAGTTAGACAGTACAGTATCAAGAGACAAGAAAATGCAATTCGTTGCTACAGAAATACACTGGTATCGAAAAGGAAGATAGTTTATGTACATCGAATGGAATAATCGTAGTGCAAGAAAAAAAAATAGGCGATTGTTACTGTAAGATTCTGGAAGGTAAACAAAGATTTTCAGTGACTTAAACGAGACGATTGTTGAAAAAGAATTTTAGGAGGACGTGCATGATTTAAACGTTGACGTTCAATGGCTTTATTTATCAATTGTTTTGAATCATCGTTACTAGTTGATGATGACGGCTTAGTTGACCGTTTACGACGTTGATGTAAACGATTCAAATAGCGTTGATGGCCGATAAGTGATGAATCAAGGTTCGTCACAGATGAGTTTTGATTGAGAAATGAAGTTAAATTCGAGTTCTACATAGAAAAATGAGTAATGAGTAATCGTGAAATCTGACGTACTTGATATTCGATGGATGTTCGTTCATCTTCGTCTTCATCCTCATCATTGTCAATATCTTCATCCATTTTATGAACCGTACTTTTCTGCCGTTTGTTTGCTGCTTTCGAAGCAATCTGCTCATAAACACTCATGCCTAAATCATTCAACAATTGACTGCAAGAAAAGGCAATCCTAATCAATATTCATACTCGCATGTTCGATTAGTAAATTTTCAATTGGATTAAAATGATGAACATTCATTGTTGATTCATCGTTTTTAATCAATGGCGGCGTTGCAATCCAACTATTCGTCATCATAGTATTACTTTTCATTGTCGGTGTTGTCATCACTTATCAAAACATGTGTCTATAGGCAATTAACAGTGCAAAATAAAGTGATATACCTGCATCGGAAACTAAAACCCAATCGTCATCTTCTTTATGTTGTACATTGGTTTTTAAAAGTTCCTTGTTTGGGGATGTTGTCTTCGACAACAATGCGGTGAAAACTTTGTACATCTTATGGCCTTAAATAAGAAAATCTACATATGGTACTGCGTTTCGTTTGCAAAAATGTATACAAACACGTTTAAGTAGATGTTCTGCATTGTTATGGAGAGTGGAGAGCGAAGAAATATGTTTTCTTTTTTTCCTCTATCGAGCACGTGAATTGTAAAATATGACAAGATTGATGATCAAATAAGGAAAGAGGAAAATATCGTCTCAGATTCGTCTCAGTCGTCGATTGTCGTATGACATTGAATCATCTGTTAACAGAAAAGTGCAAAAACCAATCAAAAAGAATTCTTTCTTCTAATTATCTGCGTAAAATTTTCTATTATATTTGATAAAGACAAAAAATAATTTGCATCAATAGGATTTTTATTGATTTCGAGAAGCGAACGACATCTATTCGACATTTCTCAGTCATTCGTTGGACGCCGTGCACTCATCTGACACAAAATATACTTTTTTTTCATGACCGGTGCGCTGAATCACATCTGAGGTAATTATCATTTAACCAGTTACCCGATTTTGCTGCTCATCTCTGCCGCCATTCTTAACAGTATGAATTCGAACACCTTGTTCTAGTTCTCATGCGTTTTATTCGTTTACTCTGCAGGTTTATGGAACCACAGGCTCACATTCACTCGAATATTAATATTGCTGGTAAACAACTATTCTAAAGAGTTTGGTAACCTTATTTTGTACTTTGCTTAGCTCTTCGCAAGCCATATAAACAACCACACGAATTCTTCGGTATCGAACATCTAGTAGCGAAAGAACCAATCAGTCAATTTAAAAAATGGTTCGAAGAAGCATATGAATATCTTGACGAACCAAATGCGTTTTGTTTGTCAACAGCGACAAAGTAGGATCAGTTTTAATTTGTTTGTTGAACTGTTATGTTTCTTGATTAGAGATGGAGTGCCGTCCAGTCGATTCTTGTTGATGAAAGATTTCGACGAGAACGGCTTCAAGTTTTTCACAAATTATGATAGTCGAAAAGGACAAGAACTGGTAAGTTGATAAAGATTTTACATCGATAAAACTATGACATAACTATCTAGGAAAGCAATCCAGTAGCATCGATGTGTTTCTATTGGTCATCGATGTCACGATCGGTAAGTTCACCGGATCTTTGAAATGCGTACTTAAAAGATTTCTGGTAGATTCGAATCGATGGTCGAGTGGAGAAATTATCGGATGCTGAATCTAAAGAATATTTTCAATCACGTCCTCGTGATTCACAAATTAGTGGAGCAATCAGTAAACAAAGTCAACCTATACCGAACCGACAGGTAATTTCTCTCGTTTGTTAAACTGTCTAAAAAGAACCAGTGGTTTTTTTTTGTACCAATAGTTTTTACTTGATCAACGACAGAAATATATCGACAGCGGTTTACCAATTGAGAAACCGGAACGATGGTAAAAATCTATCATTTCTTTCGTCGCTTGACTACTTTATTTTCAGGGGTGGTTTTCGTGTCATACCACACACTATTGAATTCTATCAAGGTCAAAGCAATCGATTATCTGATCGTATCCAATTTCGTCGTCTTACATCTAATGCCAAGGAAACCATTCCAATAGATCCAACTGTTACCCATCAAGGAACCGATGGCTGGGTCTACGAACGATTGTCACCGTGATATATTTTTCTTCTATATTGATAATTGATTTTAAACACATGTCTTTCCCATTGAACTAATACAGATAGATTTTTACTTAATTGATTTTAGATTGGTAATAAAAAGAAATGGAGCATTTTCTTAATGATAACAATGATCATAATTCCAGTTTTTTCCAACCTCCAACTGAAGATGACGAGATTGAACAAGCAGATGAAGCAAATTCTCCTTCAGATATGGAAACAACTAGTCCAGTCAAAGCCGAATCAAAACCAGCCGAAGCAACAGTTCCCAAAGTCGCGCGTACTTATCAAAAACCGGTCGACGAAGAAGCTAACATCAAACTTCAAGTGCTCGTATCCAACTTCAGTGATGAACAATTAGATCGATATGAAATGTATCGTCGTTCGGCGTTTTCCAAAGTTTCAATCAAACGTTTAATGCACTCAATCACCGGCACAATACCATCGTCGAACGTTGTCATAGCTATGGCAGGCATAGCTAAAGTTTTCATTGGTGAATTAGTTGAAGAAGCACTCGAAGTTCAACGTCGAGAGAATGAAAATAAGACAACGCCTTTGGAACCTAAACATTTACGTGAAGCATACAGACGTATTAATAATACTAGTCGTTATCCACAAAGAAAAACGTGGAAATCGAAAAAGAAGTCGAGATATCATTAATTTTGACAAATCAATTCTGTGTTTTTTCTTTCTCGCGTTTTCTGTTCTTTCCTTCAGATGAAATTTGCTGATGTACAAAACATTTTTTTTCAACATATTCATCGAAAATATCATCGATATACTCGAGAATTGTTCGCACAATTGTTATGCTTGAACACAAATTTGAAATCAGCTTATCTGTTCGATTTGTTTCCATTTTCAATAGAAAATATGAGAAGTTTACTGAACGATCTATCGAAATATTTGCCATTTCGATCAATTTTATTAAAATATTCAATAAACGATCTGATTATTCTCAATAGTACACATTTACCAAAACTAATCGATGTATCGAACTCCGCTCTGATCATTGATTTAAACACGTTAACTATCACAGAATGTCATACTGTACTAAATGAGGTAGTTCGCTTGTCCTATTGATTCAGATCATCTTACGTTTGTTCACTAGATTCGTAATCATCTCTTATGGATTGATCATCAACAAAACCAACAGATTGATTTCGACGATGAAACAAACGAAGAATGGACAAAATTAATCCGACCAATGAATCACACCACAACATTTGGCTATCTACTTGGTTATCCAATTGTTTATTATTATGCATCAGAGACATTAACGAATGCTACAACATTGAAGAATTTTCGTTTATATGTGAAACTCGCTGATGTTGATGACGAGATTTTACTCTATTCATTTTCCTCTCCTGTTCACGACAATATCAATGAGAAAACGGTTGACGATGTTATTAATCAATGGTTTTCTTCGTTGTCGCTGAAAATGAATTCATCTGATATTGTCAAACATTACCATTTGGAACACCAAATCAGAGAACAGACAACATGGTGTTTTTAGAGATTCTTCCTGTGGACTCGACATTCATAGTAAACAGTGAATTGTATAGAAACAAGTTGAAATGTTTGTACTATGGTATAAATACACTATTTCAAACGACAAGCAAAATTATCAAGAGATTGTTGGTTTTATATTAAATATTTCGACTTTGGGAGAGATTCAAAAGAAACTTGAATCATTAGAATTACTAGGCGCATGCTTCTTATGGTAAAGCTTATAAAAGCATGTTGAATGTATTTGAATCGATGAACTTTCTCTTGAAGCTTTCGTTATTTATAGACGTCTTTTATTACTTAAAGATACTACTAAACTATCAGACCGTATTCTCAATGAAGGTCATAAATGCGCTAAAACTCTCAATGTGATCGTTGTATTGATTTACGGTTTCGTGCATTAGGATTAACAATGATAATACGAATACAAATACTGAAGATATTGAAAGGAAGATGTTAAACATATATAATACTTGACGATATCTCGGTAAAAACTTTTCGAGATTCTTTATTTATATGAGTGTATTAATTTCGACGTTTATATCGAAAGTTAACTGATATATCAGACAAAGCATGACTTCATATTTAATCTATGTTTCTACAAAAATTAAATTAACAAGACAATAAAATCATTAAAGTCTCGATTTCTTTTATGTATTCGATTTAAACAAGATGAATAACAAAACTTTTCAATCAATTGAATGACTATTTCAAAAGATAGGATAAACCGGTATCATCACATACCACGTTCAACTATTGTTGCTACTGCCATCTATACCATGTACTTAGAAAATAAAACAGAAACCATCACGTAAAAGAATATGAAAGAAGTTTTAATAATTTAGAAAAATTATCGGTATTTTTATTAGTTTCCGACATCAGTATGGGAATCAGTCGAATAAGTGTTGATTGGCCTGCTGATATCGATGCAAAATCTACCTCAATCGAAATTTTCACTAAACGAAAAAGTTGAACTTGTTAACATCCGCTTTGTCTGAGTGATTTCAACTGAAAGAATGGGACGACCTGGTACGTATGAAAATTTAGCGCTGTTGATTTACAGTTTGTATCATATTCGAAATAGATTTTCGTGGTGGCAGAGGCGGTGGAGGACGTGGACGAGGTAAGTTTTGAACAAATGTTCAGTTCAGCTAAAAGGCGATCTTGTAGGCGGCGGTGGTGATCGTGGCGGTTTTCGTGGTGGACGAGGTGAGTTTTCATTGAGTTAATCTATTCTATACCATTTCTATTTCTTTCAGGTGGTGGTCGAGGTAAGTTCGACTGAATATTGAGTAAATTTCGCATAATGCATATCTCAACTATTAGGTGGCCCACGAGGTGGTGGAGTTCGTGGTGGAGGTGGACGTAAGTGATCGTTAAGTATTTGAACGAATCAATGAATGTTTTTCATTAGGTGGTCGGGGCGGAGGTCGAGGTGGAGGTGGCCGAGGTAATTTCGAATCTTTTATATGACTGGATAAAAGTGGTTTTTTTTTGCTCGGCTAGGTGGTGGTGCTGGCGGTAGAAAGATCGTCGTTGAACCACATCGCCATCCAGGTTTGTATACGGATATTGTCTTACTTTGAAATTCAATTCTATTACTCTTTAGGTGTATTTATCGCTCGATCCAAAGATGATGACATGTTATTGACACGAAATATGGTTGTGGGCGAAAGTGTTTATGGTGAAAAACGTGTCAGTGTTGATGTAAGTCGTCGCCAGGAAATATCTTTATCAAAAAGAAACGAAAACTAATTTTGTTCTACAGGGTGAAAATCAAGAAAAGATTGAATACCGCGTGTGGAATCCATTTCGATCGAAGTTAGGCGCTGCTATTCTTAGTGGTGTTGACAATGTTCATATGCCACCTGGTTCAAGAGTACTTTATCTTGGTGCAGCTAATGGTACAACTGTATCTCATGTTTCCGATATCGTTGGACCCGTACGATCTTTTCCTTATTCAATCAACGTCCTATATACGCAACATGATGTTTCTTTTTCAGGAAGGTCTCGTCTATGCAGTCGAATTCTCTCATCGATCGGGTCGTGATTTGTTAAATGTTGCGAAAAAACGAACGAATATTATTCCAATTATTGAAGATGCTCGTCATCCACACAAATACCGCATATTGATTGGTTTGTTCAACATTATCTAGTCTCACAAATCATCTGAGAATATATTTAGGTATGGTCGATACCATCTTCGCTGATGTTGCTCAACCCGATCAAGCACGTATTGTGGCATTGAACGCGCATCACTTTCTTAAAAATAATGGAAATTTCGTTATTTCAATTAAAGTAACAAAGAACGATGTTTGCGGAATTAACAACTACTTTGCATTGTTTATAGGCGAGTTGCATTGATTCAACAGCTCAGCCTGAAGCTGTGTTTGCTGATGAGGTTAAGAAACTGCAAAGTGAAAAACTTAAACCCAAAGAGCAGATCACACTTGAACCCTACGAACGTGACCATGCCGTTGTCGTTGGTGTTTTCAAGTACGTTTAAACTACCCAAAATCTTGATTTGTTTTCCATAAACGAATATTTTAGACCAACTGGAAAGAGCAAAACGAAAGAAGAAAATAATACAAAAGAAGATATGGAAGACTAATAATATATATTATTATTAGGAATTTTACATGTCCAACAATTTAGTGTCGGCAGCTTTTTTTGCCTGTTATCTGTACTGTTTTGTTGTTCTTGTTGTTGATTTCAAATAACAAACACATTTATGAAAAACGAGGTATTACATATCATATGTTTTTTACTTCGCTGAACATCTTTGGATCATCGGGGTCGTAGACCACGTCTAAGGACATCTATTGTCAAAATTCTAATAGGTTCCCAATATGTTTACAATGAATTGTTAATAGTTACTTCGATAGATTTTATCAAAAATATTTTCCAAACCCATTGTCGATCTATACGTTCGAAAAGTTCATTTCAATGGATACGAGTTCACCAGTAAAGATACAGATCACTCTCTCTCTGTTGTTTTTACTGTTCTACTGACTATCTCATTTCCATTTCATGATCGTTATGTGTATGACTGTGATTACAAAAAGATCAGATTGTTTGACACTTCTTCTCTATCTCGAATAATTACGTCGTATTAATAAGTAATGTGCGTAGAACAGTGAAACGAGTAATCAAATAGAAATCAATGTATTCTGCTGCACATCGACAAATGAATACACAAAAACTAACTATGCGTCTGTCACGCCAACACGTTTTATTGACCAATAAAGATACGAACATCCGACAATGACGTCATTTTTTTTTCTAGACTAGTTTTTTTCCTTCTATTATAGATTTCGAGAGGACATTCACAAATATTGATTGAAGAAAAAACCCGTAATAAACAACGTACAAATATCATATCTTCCTACGTTGACTTCGACTTTGACATTTACACGTCAAAATTATCATTTGTTTCTTTTCATTGACAACTAACCAAACATTCGCGTTATTACATGATTAATAATAACTGTACCAAATGACAACCATAGTAGTTCCATTTCCAACTTGGTAAGTAAGCGTATCTGCTGATCAACTGTTAAACATCTGAGTTGATTATCACGCTAATCATTTTGAATCAGTACATGAAAAGAAGAAGGATGGGAAAAAACGAGTCTTATTTTCAGACTTGATGATTCACGAGTTTCAATATTTGAGTCACTTGTTTTGTATGTTATTCGATATTACATTTAGAATATTTCCTGTCTCCATTCGTTATAAGTAAGTGACTATAGTCTTATTTCGTGCATTTGAATGTATAATATATACTGCGAGAGTACTTCTGTTTGCGTTCTTCTTAACTCGCTTATTTTGCTTCGATTATTCTGTGTTCTACTATGAATGGAATCGATATCGAAATCTTTTTTTGTTTAGTATGTCTACTAATGAAGAGTTATTAGCAGTCAATAATGAACAAATAGGCACAAAAGAACGCCGATCAAGTTCTTTCACTGATCGTTTGACCATCGGACCAATTGCTGCTGCAACACGTCTTATGTCTTCCTTTTCAAGACAATCTCAGTCTACAGCCTCATCCGATTTAAATGAAACGAATAATAAATCTTCCACATCATCATCATTTTTCAGTCCTTTTACCAAACGCTTATTACCAACACGTAACCGTTCAACGTCGCCAAAATCTGCTCCAACCCTATCAACTTCAAGTCCATTTCTAGCAAATACTTCTCACGTTATGCGTAGTTCAGCAACGACTCCATCTGGATTAAATTATAATCTGAAATCTCCGACAACATGCGCTCCTAATATAGACTCGGCACCGGAAACAGTCGATTTAGATTTTAATTTCGAATTAACCTACAATCAACTACGCGAATTAGCAGAAATTAATTGTAATTATTTTGCTCAACAAAAAACCGATGTCTGCCGACGATTTGAACGTCTTCTAATTCAAATTTTACATTCAGTTGAACTATCCGTACCATTAATACAATACTTACGAGACAATTTTCATCATTTCGACTATAGTACCGAAGTAAAACTCTGAGAAAAACCAAGGTAAATATCTCTCTATTTACTTGTTGCCTTTTAGATTCGAGCCAACGGTTATCGAACCTTAGCTGTTGCACATGGTCAAGCATGTTTACGTGCACTAGATATTCTCCGACAAGTTGATACGAAACGTGTTGGCCTTTTGTTTAATCTGATGTACTCATCACGGTTATTTCAAGATTTGGAGTCCTGGACGAAAGTTCTCATTGGCATGCAACATCTTCTTTCGTTTTCGGCAAAAATGGTTGATTATTCCTGCAAGAAAGTTCTATGTGTAAGAGGTCAAATTTACCTCAATAGTGTTCTACTTTTTCCTCGTTTAGATCGACGCGAATGAAGTACCACTAGATGTCGAATTGGAATATTTTAAAATTGTTGCTTTTGATTCTGAATATTTTTTTGGTAGAACATGTGGATTTCAGGTAGGATGAGATCCGGTCACAGCCGTCTATTTTTCTCAACAATTCTCTTCTTACTTAAGTTTGCACAATCAATGCAAACAATGCTTACTTTTCTGCTCGCTGGTTTAGCTACTTATCATGAAACATACAATCGATCAATTCCTTTTGCAGCTGCTCGTCTTGCCACTGCACCAAAGTATATACTATTTCCTGAACAACGAGCGAAAAAGGTTTGAATTCACGAACAGTAGTTAATTGAAATTCATTCATTAACCTAAATTTCAGTGCGCCGCAATATTTCGGGACTGTGATTACTTATTCTGTAAATCGTTTTGGAACCTTGTTGATCATGATTATATTAAAATGGGTTCACGCTATATTGCACCTAGTGTGACTGTTTCGAAGTATTTTCAAATTGGACCAGNCCTGATTGAACAAATGGTAATAACGAATTCAATGGTATGGCATGTTTCAATGAAAATTCGTAACCAGCCGGGTCAATAACTAAGATTTCTAATTGGCGACGTCGTTTACTTGCTTCAATCATTTCGATAATTTGATCGGATGATAAATATGTAGTATCACGACTATTGATCTCAAGAATTTTATCATTGGCTCGTAGACCGAACTCATATGCTGGTGAACCTGGATGAACGTCTTTGATATGTATAGGATTTCCGCGTTGTAGAGTAAATCCAAAATCTTGTTCATGATTGTACAGAACAATTCGACATAAACGCGGTGCTAATTCTCGTACAAATGGCAATTGATAATCGAATGGATCCGGTTGTAAGTAACCACCTTTACGTTTGAGAACTTGATATGCTGGAGCTGTCAGTGTGACAAGTGTAACTTGTCCTGTTTCTTCGAATGTTCGTTGAATTAGAAGTGTCATTTCATCGAACGATCGAATAGCTTGAACATTACGAGTTTCAATATAAATAATTTGATCACCTTCAGTTAAACCACTAGAAGGAAAAACGAAATGTTTTTTTTTCTCATGAGAATTTGATACTTTTCGAAAGAAAAGTTTTACCTTCGTTTAGCTGGACTATTCTGACGGACTTCAACGACAATTGGTGTATCGTAATTATCTTTCTCAATCATTCGAAAACCACATCCATGGAAACTTGGATCACGAACAAGAACACATTTGCCTAAAACGTCGCGTAGAATGATTACGAAAGTAAACCTAAGAACATCTTACGAGGCCATGGATCTGTTGGTAAATATGGTTGACTAGTAATGAGCGCGGATCGATTTTGTTGCCGTTGATATGTATCAAAACCATGTGCACTGTATGGTCGATCTGGATAGCTTGCTGATGTTAGACCAACATTATCAAGACGCGGTGTGGACATATATTTAACCATTGTGGATGGTTGTGGTTGCGTAGCAAATGAACCATCATATGGTGACCACGATGATGTGTACTGATCAGCATTATTTCCATCGTAGTACATACGCTCGTCATTCAATGATGGCAATGATTTCGTTTTGGCAGACGCACGCGACGGTGGTTTAGTCAATGGTTTGATGTTACTTGGTGATATAAGCAACCGTACAAGACCATTATTACTAGCATTTTTTATTAAAGCGGCGACATCTAAATGAAAACGAACCAATGTGAAACGGAAGTAAGAATAATTCGGATGATCATACCTCGATGTGTTCTATGAGTGACGTTCTCATCATTCACTTCGATCAAACGATCTTCATTGTGCAGGCCAGCTCGAGCTAAATATCATATAAAATGTATGTGTTTCTGATTGAGATGCAAAGTGAGCACTTTGACTTTACCTGCTGGTGATTCTGGCGCAACATTGCGGATGACGTGTTTGTTATCTACTTGTGATAATTCAAAACCAAACGTTTGACCGGGTTCGGTATTTAAACGACAGAAACGTAACATTGATTTGCCATCAACAACATCAACAGCTGCTCGTGATAAAGGTATACGTGGACGATTCAACGATGAAGTAACACTTGGCGCAACTGTTGATCGATGGTATGGATCGCGCACTGGTGATACGTAGCCATCTGAAGGAAAGAAAGCAAATGATTATGAATTGATTTTTCTCTACAAAAAGTTTATGACGCCACAATTACTTGTGTAAGGGGAAGGACGAATTGCAGTAGGTCCAGTTGATGGCGGTCGACTTGTTGTTGTTGGCGGTTGGTATGGTGTTGGTGGGAAAAGAATTTCTTTTTGATCCGACATGGGCTCCGGCGTGAAACGTGTCGGTGGTGACGCGACACTTGAATCTGTGGATGTGTATACGGCTTGATGTTCGGGAGTTACATGACTGAAATCAATCCAAATAGGACCATTACTTGAAAAAAAAAAGAAGTTTTTCTTACCGAGACACGTTAGCACGTTGGGATAACGGGTCAATTCGAAAATGATTACGTTTATACCATTGATAACCAGGATCATCGATAACAAGTAAGCAAACTTCACCATCTCGAACATAGGATTCATCGACCAGTTGACGAACATGTTGATGATCTGTCGTTTCAACGTTGATGTTGTTGACTTGAATCAGATGATCTCCATTGCGTATTTTAGTATGGGCAGCTGGTGAATCCAATCGAAGTTGTTGAACTTGGTATCCACCACCGGTTCCATTGGGAGTGGGAACAATGGTAAATCCAAGTTGACGATAGTTTGGCCAGGGCTAAAAGCAAAGCACGAAATAGAATTGAACAATTGATATATTAATAACTGAGCGTACTCGAACGAAACATTGTCGCATTGACGGATATGGTTCGTCGGTAATCGTTGGTGGTGGATATGAATCAAAAGTAGGACGACTCGGTGTTCGACGATCACTTAAGTATGGGTCGACTGGTGGTAATTGATTCAGTGATCGATATGTAGCAGTATCCATTACTTCTAACAATAGTGTACCATCACGTCCAGCATCAGAACGTACTAAATTTTGCATCAATTGATTAAATTCTGGTGGATTCATGTGCTCGACATTTTGATTGTTTACACGTAGAATGTAATCTCCAACGCGTAGACCTTGAGCATCAGCGGGCGAATATTGCTCAACAGAAACGATTTGATGTAGTGTAGTGTCACCTTGCTGATTGGATCGAACACGAAAGCCATAACCTTCGAAACCTGGATCACGTTGAAGATAACATTGTCTTGGTTTTTGTGGTGAACTTGTGCTTGTCGGTGGTAGTTTAGTTTGCTCGACAAAATCAGGCTTTGTTCTTGTATTCTTTGCACTTTCTTTGTATGCACGGTAAACATTTCCATCTGTTACTAATAAACGAATAGTTTCACTATTATTTATCCGTCGTAGTTTATCTTCGAGTTGATGATGATCTAAATACTCGACGTTTTCATCGTTAATTGACAGAATATAGTCATTGACACGAAGTCCTTGTGAACCAATCGAATTTGAACTATCGACAGATGTGACAATATGACTGAATGGTGTACCGGTCGGTGGATCGTGCTCAATTGTACGAAAATTAAAACCAACACCATTCACTGAATGAGAATCTTTGCGTATTGGAACATGACGTGGCTGCATTGATGTTGATGGTTGCGCAATGGAAGGTGCAATAGGAGTGCTGTTTGTTAAATCTCCCAGAACAGACGGAGGAGGTCGTTGGCCAAATGTGTTCAAAATAGGTGGTGTTGGTTGAGTCATTGGTTGTTCGCGAGTAATTGTTGTTGATGGTCGGGTATCGATCGCTAAAAATGTCAGAAAGAACATTTTTTCTTCAAGATTAAAAAAAATCAAACTACATACAATGACGAGATAACGACGGTGATATAGAACGAGCAGGACGATTTGGTGGCATAATTTTAACGTTTGGTAAACTACGATGAATGAGTTTTTGTAGTTGTTTATAGTAATCATATGTAGGAATATCGGCAACAAGGACTTCTAATGGCTCAGGATATCGAACTCCACGTATGCGTTGAGTTACTTGTTCGTGATCGAAATTTTGTATATTGAGACCGTTGATTTCAATTAGACGATCGTCTGTTTTGATACCAGCTAATTCAGCATCTTCAAAATAGAAAAACAGGCTTCGTAACCGATTCTTTTCTTCTTCACTTTCATCATGAACAGCAAGAATATGAAAATAACACTTTTATGTCTCGTTATCCAATTAAACATCAAGGACAAACGAATTAAATGAGTTAGTTGCGATTTTGCTACGTAAACTTTTCTTTCATTACAATCCGTTATCAAACATCTCTTTAACCGCATTCCTTTTTTTCTTGTACTCAAAGATTTAAACACATTCTTAACCTTTAGAACTGATAAGAACACGCTTCTTCTTCGTATTTGTGAACTTTCTTTGAAATAGGTGAAAGAATACGCATCTTGAACTATCTTTCTGAATATTTGAAATAACTTCTTACTTGACGGTCCATTATCTCGTCCAGATGTTAAATTCAACGAATGAAATTGCTCGCGACGATGATAATTCAGTTCAATGCCGAATGTGTCAGTAGCATCAGCTCGATTGATAGTACAAAGACGAATATCTTCTCGAGCTGATGGTGTTGCTGGCATGGGAAGAATTGTTGAAGGTGCTTGCGTTCGGTTCGGTCGAGATAGATCGGGCACACTTGGTGTTTTAGCACGTGAACCGTCACGTAGAGTTGATGCATTCGACGCCGGCGGTTGACTACTACCACTATTGATACTTGGAGCTGAAATAGAAAAAGAAATCTTTGTCATTTTACGTACATAATAATACTAAAGGATTATTCGAATAATTTGCTTTTCTTTCTCGTGCGTATATATAGATATAGATATCATCGCTGAAAAATGATACAAAACCTCTCAATTTTCATCTTTTTTTTTCTTTTTATAAGTAAATATTAATCCAAGGTCGATTAGATTAATCATATAACTCTATATATACGTATGTTGAAGTTTCGTTTTTTTCTTGAATTACATGATACTTACAATCTCCATCTCGGGAATAATACTGATTGTCGGTAGCTCTTTCAGCTGATTGACTTTTCCGCTTTCCCTTGGATGATAAAGTCATCTTATTTTGTACATAATGTTTATATGTATTCGTGTCCATAACGTACAACTTGACAGCACCTTTAGTTCTTGCTTTGCCTAGCTTTTCTAAGATAGATTTACTGACATCTTTATCAACGAATTTATCATCGATTTCGATAATTCGATCACTTTTACGTAGAGACGTTCTACTAGCCGGAGTGTTCGGAAAAACTTCTTGAATGTAAGCACCAACGTCATTTTCACCATTAACAACTTCGAAACCAAATGTTGGTTCAGTTTTCGATAGACGAATATTACATGTGCGCGGTTGATGGGGAGGAAAATTGGCGTATTCGAAAGGCATCGTTGCTGGCGTATTTATAACGGTCGCGTTGTTCGGATCAATATCGAGATTGCGTTTTTTAATTTCATGATAAAATCGCTGTTCAACAACAAGTAATTCAATCGGTGCATTGGCATCACGTGCTGCGGCAATGGCATTTCGAACTC